TTTCCTTCGGCAACGCCGAAGACCGTCAATTTGGCCGCAATTACTTAATCGGCCCCCGAGTCCTAACCGCCCTGTCTTGTCCTCTCACGCTTTCACTCCGCCGATCGGCTTTCTCGCGAGCCGTGTTTCTCATGGCCGTCTATCTGCTTGCAGCGATTTAACTGCAACAGCGGCTCGGACACGGTGAATCCTTCGAACGCTTACGTGGAGGGTTGCATCAACGGAACTAATTACAACCTGCACGTGCACTCAAAGTTTATAGGCGGCGCTAGTCTTGGACTCGGATGCATGATGGTAAGGGTGCAGTTTGCATTTTTATGAATCTCTTGAAATCTAAGAGGAAGCATCAGCGTTGGAAAATATCTAGCAAATATTCCTTCTAGAATTGAATTATAAAATGCACGAATACTTTTTCTTTTGTATTTTTCTTTTCAAAAAATCGTTTCTGTGACTAGCGTTTTTACATCTTTGCGTTTAAATAGATATTTTTTATTTGTTACGCAGTATTTTGATTTGATTTTTTTTAACTTGCAGTTCTTTGCTATAATTATGTCTTGCGTGCTCTTCAAAACGATCCAATGACAGGAGGGGTACTTAGATGGAGGCTGCTCTCCGTAAGAAAGTACGGGAAGGAAGTGGGTCTTCGAAATCCTTAGGGGATTTTTTCATGCAATTTCATCGATTACTCGTCGCTGTAAGCGCACCTGATCACACCGTGATAATAAACGAACAAATCTCTATCCGATTGTACAGTTCTCGCCAATTTGTTACATGAATATAACATTGTATCATGATTATCATTATTCTTTATATTTTGGTATATAATTTATACGTGTAAGATTATCTTCGATTTAGTTGCGTGTGTCATGAGTACGTTAATGTATCGTGTACCTTATATATGTGCCGTAATAAATGCATATGTATATTATGTATCTGTCAATCCTTTCGGTAATTATTGTCGATCAATACCGAGTGAAGTAATGTGTAAAAATTAATTTTTCCAGCGATCGCTTTTCTTCACGTTCCATTAGTTATACGATAGTTCCGATTCTTCATTTATCATCAAGAAATATATATAAATTCTATCGAATAAAAATAACAAGATGCTTACTTATATAAAGAATATATTGTAAGATTAAGTATGTAATGTGTATTTGATATATAACATTTCTTATATATATAAATTCTATCGAATAAAAATAACAAGATGCTTAATTATATAAAGAATATATTGTAAGATTAAGTGTGTAATGTGTATTCGATATGTAACATTTCTTATATATATGCATTCTATGTAGTAATTCTAACATTTAATTATAACATTTTCATGAATTATGTTGATACTATGTGTGTTTCTATATGATATTATAAACAACAGATTAATGGGTTCCGCTGTGTATTTGTCTGGATTTTATTCACCCCTCTGTTGTTTGTGACTGTGCACCTCCGCTGTATTAAAACACAACGAGTCGTTATAATCCGGGCGTCTCGCTAAAGTGAACTACTTCATCGCCGTCGTCTATCAATTCCCTTTCTATTCTTCTAGTGATTATCGATTGTTGCAATCCGCATACCGGGACGGTACAATTGTCCTCAAAATTTTATCCAGATTTGTGTGGATTTCACGCCCATTAAGTGAAATCCAAAAACGCGTCAAGTAACGTAACTTACATACAATTATTATAATTATAAATTTTTAAGCAAGAATATTCTATTTCTATCTTTGTTAATTCTTAAGCTAAAGCTCTGAAAGCCACAAGTTTTGCTTGCACAGTAAAATTTCCAGCAAAGAAATGCAAATTCAGATATAAGCGGTAAATTGAGTAGATTAAGTAATATTTATTTTGTCAATGTACGCCTGACGAGCTCGCTCGACTGCGTAATTTTCTGCGAGTATATCAAGAGTATGATAATGGCTACCCCCTTAGGTTTATTCACCTCCAGTATGCGTCAGCCGTACGCATGTCCTTGCGATGAGGCGTGACTCGCTGCCATTCCACGGGAACGTCTCATCGAATCGCACGCAATTCTCCATCGTTGCCCCCTTCCCTTCAGCACCCACATCGTCAGCACATCCGACTTTTTCGTTGCGACTTGTTTGCTCAGACCTTCCGTGTGCACGAGCGATGGATCGAAAGAAGGTAAACAAAGCAGCGACCTTTCTCGCTCGTTGAATGATAAATGAGTAGATTCTGACTTTCCACGAAATTACATCGTTCCAAGCGACGTCGCACGTGTCTGTCTCTCAGCTTTCGGCAACATTAACCGAACGCTTGTACCTTTCTGTTTCTTAATTCATGCATAGCTGTACCATCGCATTTGCGCAGCTGGCGTATATTTTCCGAGCTCGGAAAGAGTAAGAGTCGTTGGTCAGCACCGGTGCTTGCATTGAGCTTAAACGGGCTGCGAGGGTGATAAAAACTCTATAAAAAGATCCGGGCGGGACGGGCTCGTTAGTCTTGATTGACAACCGTCCTAGTGGAAGGAAAACCACGATAAAAAACCCAGAGAAAACTCCGTGAAAAATAACAAGATGATTGAGGAGGGTGGAGTTAGGGGCTAGTCCCGGCTCCCTCAACCCCGGCTTCTAAGAGAGGCTCTCTCCCCCGAGCGACGGGGATACGCACCTCGCCGCTTAGGTCGGGGGAAGTGGAGCCACAAAAAATGGTTACGGGTCCCCCGAGCCCGATCTGCAACGGGCAACAAACGGGTTGGGGAAGGACCCGCGGGTCAACTGGAAGGCTGACCCGATGACCTCCTAGACTTAGGGGATAATCCCCTGCGGGCGGATATGGCGCGGCAGAAAGGATCACCGGGCCTAGGCCCGGAGCGGATGAGCGACCGAGGGTGAGGGTAGAACACTATGGTTCTCCCCACTTTTGAGTCTAGCGCCGGGCAACCGATATCCGGGAGGATGGCCGGATGTAATGCGTTGCGGTTCCCGGCCATCCCCCACTAACGGCAGCTGAAGGCCAAGCAACGGGGGTGGAGTTTAGTGGGTAAGCGTCTGGGGGTGTTTATGGTATCGCAAACCATACCCCCAGACGAATCCCACACTACCCTCTGGCGGTGGGTTTATTAGAAACCCACATTGCACGCCAGAGGGTGTCTTTGAAAGATTCTCCACCCCCGGGAGGGGCTATCGCCCCCCACACAAAAAAAAGTTCTGTAAGGTCGGAGGAGACGAGCGCTGCCACGACCTTTTGTGATGCGGTGCTATCGGAGCCTGTGAGTCCCTCCATTTCAACCTTTTACTCGGACAGCTGAATCGAGCTCACAGATTCAGATATTGAAGTGACGATGGAGGAACCGACGGTAGCAGTTGAGGGAAGAAAGGGCAGACCGGTTGGACCTAAAAAAAGAAGAAACAAAGATCACCTAAAGGAGAAGAAGTTTGGCGCTCGTATCTCCTTTAATAATAGGAAGAGGGTAGACGACAAAATGGTCGGCCTAGAACTGGAACACGCCACGCAGATAAACCTGAAAATTATAGAGATGGTAAATGGAGTTGAATCTATTAGAAGAAGGTCACTTAATATTAAGGGATCGTTTAATGGCCAGATGAATTTGCCAGATGGTTATGCTAGAGGTTATACGTAGGACAAGCAGACTGCCTCCATAAAGGCATCCTTGAATGAAAGAGTACTGGAAGGAAAAATTCTATGAGATGGAAAGAATTGCGACGGAGAGTAGGTGCAAAACGGATGTGCTGGAGGTAGAATTGGAAAAGGTAAGAAAAGAGGCGATTAAAGACGTTTACGATATTAGTGAGAGCGACAGGGACTTCCTCGGTGTGAGGAGACGCCGATGGAGATGGCCCCGGGGCCGTCGACTGCGGCCCTCCCCTCAAGTGGGGGAGAGGGAAGAACTCTAAGGAGGAAAAAAGACTATAGAGTTGCGAGTGACATAAACCCTACAAAAGAAAGTGAGTGTGCAACACCAGGTGAATATTACAATAAGGTTGAGTTGGATCTGGCGATCGTCCATTCCTTACACAGACTGGGTAAGGGCATGACCCAACTAATTCGGGAAACGAGGCTCCTCAGAGAGGGGATGTATACAGAGGGGGCGAGAGCTGATAACCAGGCGGGAGCGGATCTGGTGGTACCTGAAACAAAAAGGAAAAAAACTAAGATCAGTGAAAGTCACAAAAATAGTATCTTAGTGAAAGGGGACATTTTTGTGGTGCCTCCAAGTCCGATAGTGACCTCGGAAGGCAGAAATCAAATAAAAAAAATTAACAAAGTTAGTAACATCCTATCTGGGGGTCGTAGCGAAGACTTTGGGGCTTCATACGCGCGATCTGAAAACAAAAAAAAAAAAAGAAAAAATTTAGTCTTCAAAAGGGTAATAACGACAAGAGTAATGCATCTAACTTCATTAGTGCAAGTGAAGGGGAAACGATAGACAATTCCGCAGATTCTGGAGGGAAAGAGGTGGAATGGGTAGAAGTGATGAGCAAAAGAAAGAGGAGAATTGGGGAAGGTAAGTCCACACCCAAAGAAGACAGCACAGCTCCCGGGGCAAACTACAGTAGTGTCAATAGTACGGGGAAAAATAAAGATAATAGGTGAAATGTTAGCCAAAAACAAAGAGAGTCTTATCGTACTTAGAAAAAAGGTTTCGCGCACGTCGGTGGTATCCGTCCTAAATGAAAATAATGATCTTTCATATGCAGATATTATGAGGTCTGCGCGCGCCTCTTCGTTGTGCGCCACCTTGTCGTGGTGAGGGGGCTCACCGTGGAAATACCTGAAAAGGTGTTTCTGCGGTGCTAAGAGCGCACAGTTCCTCCTAT